AAAGCATTGCTATACTTTGCTTCAAATTAGATCTCTTTCTGATTCATTCCACATTAAAACCTTCCAGCTAGATGTGAACACTACGAAAGCAAAATAAAAAATGTTGCTTTCTACACAGGGGCTCTGAGCATCATGTACAGTTCAAAACAAATCCCCCAAAATATAAAATACAAACACAAACATTGCTGTTTTAGCAAAAGCATGACAAAAAAGCTGAGTCATGTATCTACACTACTTAAATGGACCCATTTGTGACACTCAAGGCAGTCACAGAGTTCACTAGTGGCTTGCTAGTCAACCAACTTGACACAAGCTTCAAAGCCAGGCCTGTGCACAACCAACTTTCCTATCTTCCTGATTGTTTCCCTTGCCCACAAAGAGACATTCTGCCTTGATCCATTATACCGGCAATACAGATAATTTTATTTTAACATGTCTTGCAATTTTTCTTTGTTTTTGTATGTTCTTTTGCAACTATAACATGCAGTATATAACAATTGGTTAACAATTGGTTACATATTACATTTTGCTAGATGCCTATTATGGTCCTGTGTCAAACTATGCAACACTGAGTAAATAAAGAGGCCACACTTAATTTAGGGACATGAATATATTGGCTTAAAAACTGAAATTATTTACATCTGGACTATTGCCCCCATCTTTGTTGTTATTATCACAATGTTTCAGACATTGTACCCTTCAGCCTAGTGGATTAAAGCATTGGTTCATGAATTTGGTGACATAATAATTGTGAGTTCAATCCCTTGGCTAGGTAGTGCAAACTTAAAATCATTGGAAACAGGGTGAGCAATAGCCAAACAGTACTAAATAAGAACTATATAAGATATATCTAAAAATGGAAAGCAAAATGAGAACAATCTACCTCTTAGATTAAATTAGATTTAGATTTAGATTTAGTTTGAAATTCCCTGACGTTTACTTGGATCAACAAGCACCTGATGAAGGCCATAACACGCAGCAGCTGAAATGTTGTGATAATAACAAAGATAAGGACAAGAGTCTGAAGGTAAATAATGCAAATGATAATAATAATTTCTCATCCCAGAAATTCAGACTGAAATTCATTTTATTTAAGTATTCTTAAAAGTATTTGCAGATTAAAGCACATTTTTGCTTGTGTAATTGATATGAATTTTAATGTTATTTATGTTAGGTATCATAATATGATTTTTTTTCTTTGTTAAATACCATGTTCCTTCAGGATGGAGGTGATCATGACTCTCCACAGATTCCATTTCTTTATTATTTATGGATTAATATGACATCTTGGAAAAATAGTGAAGTGGTTAGCCATTGCTTTTACTATGGCTTTGAATTCATAGTTGACCTTTTCCTAGACTGGCTGGCAGCTCAAGAGCCCAGTCTTCTCTTCCATTTAAACACAGCTGGAGGGAAAATAAATGGAATTGTGTACTTTATTGAGGTTAACATTAAAAAATAAAGAAAATAAGTAACTTTTTGGTATATTTACATATTTATAAGTCTATCATTCGCCCATGCTTTGAATATTGCTGCCACATATGGCCTGGTGCTCCTTTTATATATTTAAAGATTCTTCATAAAATTCAAAGAAAAAATAATATGCAAAGAATTTTACTGCACTTAAATGCATAAAGTCTAGGTACCATAGCAGAAAGTTCCTCAGAACAATTACTATGAAAGTATTTATAAAAAAGGCACAGGGAAGTTTTATTATGGCAGTGGAAAGTGACTGAAGCTGAGATGCCCTGTCAGAACTAATAACATTGCAGATGTTTCTTTGGATTTTATCAAGAATCACTACTAAATATATAGCAAGAGAACCAGACCAGATGTAGCAGCAACATTCAAAGCAAGGATAAATGGTAGACTTATATGTAAAATAGATTTTGGTAAGAAAAATATGTAAAACATCTCAACAATTTCTAGAATATAAAAACTTTGCATTTACATTTGATGTGTTTTATTCTTTTACTTTCCGTTTTCTTTGTTGATGAGTTGAATAATTTTACAAGGCAAAAGTTTCACTCCCGTCAACCTTCTACAAATGAATCATGAGAGGTTTGGATTCATATTTCACTTAAAGTTTGTTTTGTTTTACAGCATATCAACCTCACTGGGTTATTTAATGCCAACAAGATTTTTATTGCTGGTAATATGTTTGTTCAAAAATGTATTGCTGGTAATGTTTTTTTTCTTCAAAAATATATTGCTGGTTATATTTTTTTTCAAGACTGTATTGCTGGTAATAATTTTTTCCTCAAAAATTCATTGCTGGTAATAACTTTTACAAAAATGTATTGTTAGTACTAAAACCTATTCTTACACTTTATAATGCTTTTTACTTCAGTTTCGGGGTTAACTATTTGCCCATAGCTGGGACCCTAACAGGTGCTACCACCTCGGGTCAGGGTGGACCTGGGAACACCAGCAATTAAGAGGTGGTTCCACACTCCTCAAAACCTCCTGATCAGAGGCCTTGCTGTTGTATGTAGTTTATCATCTTACTCAGTACGAATATTTCACTTAAAGCCAACAGTTATACAGGATGTGGTAGAAATACCTCCCACATTTTAAAGGTAGACCAAGGTAACTGCTATTAAAAAAAATTATTTCACTGTTGTTTAAACAAAGGGCTACAGTTTTTATTCATTTAATTTTAAAAATGATATCCTCCAAATGGTGGCTTTTATTTGCTATTCAAACTTGTAAATGATTTCTAACGTTTTCCATCACCCAGAAGTTTGAGTGCTTCAAGGTCTTTCAGACAGCTTTCTTTTAAGTGCTGAACCTGTGGCACTGGAATTTTCAACCCATAGTAGTATTGATTTTCTATCCAGAATGACATAATTCTGATATAACATAAAATAAGCCTGCTGTGTTGCAATTACAGATTCACCAGTCTTAGAAAACATTTCAACAGCAAATGCATGGTGTGCACTGGTCCAAGCCATGAATTTAACTAATGGTATCTGAAAACAAATGGTAATACATTAGCTAGATCAGTGTTTCTCAACCTTTTTAAGCAAGGGCACACCTTGGAGCAAATAAAAATATCACAGCACACTTGGCAAAATTTTTAAAGGGGATACATTTAAATGTTATGAAATAAAACCATAGATATTTAAAATATATACACACAAATATAAACTTACTTTATTTTAATGTTTCTATTCAACTATTTGTGCAGCTTATTTAGTGTGAAAACTGTGCCTGGTGTTTTATTCATAATTTCATCAATGTTTGGTCAAATGTGTGATAAGCAGACCATCATTTCTTCTTAATGAATATTAAAACAAAGTATTTAAAATAACATAATCGAAGAATAGTGAAAATAATTATCTCAAAAAAATGTTTAATATTTATTCATTTATTCAAATACTAATGCTGTACCATTACTACTTCCACACACACATATACATGCCATAACAATATTTCGCAGCACACTTAATAAGTGTGTTGAGAATCACTGGACTAGATGAAGACACTATTGTCACTTGCCTAAGTTCACTAGCACCACACAGGTGACAGTTTAAAATATGGGTGGTATTTCTGCCACACCTTGTATAAACACAAAATTTATGAAGTATCATAATAAAATGGTAATACATTATGTGTTGGAAATTTAGATTCAAGATTGAAATAATAAATGATAAAACACTTGACAGGCACCTCATCACAGAAAAGAGATGATTAAATTAATTTTACAGACAATTACTGCTGTAGTGAATTCAGTACTCACTGGATACTCTGCAGTTGAGGCATTTTGCAGTACTAAGTTAAACTTGGTAAGTATTTATAAAGACACTTGATTTGAGGAATCTATAGAATTTATTATCACCATTTTCTTTCTAAACTGGTGATTACTGAGAGAATATAACATTTAGGTTTATATCTCACTGTAAGCAATTAGATAATGTTCAAGAAAAATAGCCTTAGAAACAAATAGAAAGTGTATCTGCCAATCGGCTGTTATGGAAGTCATTAAATTAAACTACTACTACTACCACACACACACACGCATATAATGAGATTAAAGTTCCTGGATAGAATTTATCTTGTATAGTCTCTTTGTTTGTTGCACAATATCTGATTCTACCAGAAATTAATATTCCCATTTCAACTGCATAACTAGCTACAACATCCCAAAATATTCTTGTGTAGAAAGTTGAGGGGGTGAAAATTTGGCCTTGTAAAAATATTCAAATTATCCATAAAGAATAAGGACAGGAAAAGCAAAGAAAGCAGATATAGTATAACTCAAACATTTTTTATTCCAGAAGTTACTGACGTGTTTTACAAAACTCACACAGAGTAACTACTTGATATGTTGTCCAGTTATTTATACCTGGCATGTGGGCATAGTAGCAGACACAAAATGCATATGAATATTTAACAGAAATATGCTCAGTTTAATTTGAATATTTGTTACTCGTAGGGCATATAATTTGTAATAGCTTAATAACTATACATACTTAGAAGCTGAAACTTTGTAAATTAATCATTTGATATATATTCTAAATGCTGTGTAAAATTAATCTCTCTCTATAAATTAAGTCAATTAAATTTTATTTTAATTTGGTATCCACTCAATAAGTATTTTAAAAAGAGATTTTTATTTTGTCTAAAACTGATTAATTAGTAGAATGTGTTCTAATATATCCAGTATAATCTGAATCTGTCTACTTTGTTCATTTCAACAAATTTTAATTTATATATATATATTTTGAATGATTCATTTTCTATGGTTTATCAACCCTTTACTGATTATTTAAAGCCAGAAAATATTTTTACATTGTAAGAATTTTTTTGAGATAATAATGGTTTTAGTGAAACAAGTCTTACTAGTTAACCCATAGCTGGGAGAGAAGAGGTGGATTCATACCTTTCCCAACAGTATTTGCACATAAGTGAATATAATAAACCCAACAGGAATTGGAAGTTTGTTCTCTGATTAACAATTCCAAGCCATTATCCATTACACCACCCACACATCCAAGCTTACAACACCTGGTATTCCCAAGTAGTCATCCATCTAGGTACCGACCAGGCTTAACATTGCTTAACTTTGGTGATTGTATGAGAACCAGTGTTCCAATGTGATGTAGCTGTGAAGCCATACAGGTTTTTAAAGTTTTTCTTTGCAAACACTACACTTTTATTATTTCATAGGCTGTACTTTTTCTTTTTTGATGCATCATTGAGTTTCCAACCCATTTTTTGCAAGGAGACAATCTTTAAAGCAATCTGGAATATAATGCCTTCACTGATATCCCAAAACATTCTTGAATTATTGAACAATCAGAATATTTTGAGGAAATTTCATGATTTTCTTTATGTAACATTAAGTCTTTTTTAAGAAATTCATGAATTATGTGTCCAATGCATTGGTACCTGAGATGTTACAACAATAATAATTTTACTGGTTCAGAGTCACTAGTATTTAATTAGATGTCAATAGCATAAAACAACCACCAAAAAGACTAAGATACTCTAATCACAAAGGGAAGCAACTCGGTCCAGTGACTGCTTACATCAGATTCATACACAAATTTTGACAGTGTTCTGAATTTTAACCTTCATTTCATCACAGTGTCCAACTTTTGAAGCTCTGTAAATATCATAATATTGCACCCAAATACTAGATATAAGTATCAGCTATAATATGAAGTCTGAAAATAAATTCAAAACTTAATAGGACATATATAAGGCTGTCTTAAAAATTTGTACTACAATATATATCATCTATATCAGTGGTTCCCAAACTTTTTTAGCTCATGGACCACTTTGAACCCGGAATTTTTCTGTGGGCCATGAAATTATTATAGTGTAAAAAATTACTTTCATTTTACATATAATATATCCATAAAGATACAACTATATTTATTTACTTATTGGAAACAGACAATTTCACAAGCATATTTCACATCTCCTACAGTCAGAAAAAAAGGTATTTTCAATGTATGATTAATTAAAAGTTATTCAAACACTAAGTAATTAGTAAATTTCCATAATCTAAATATATTAAAATTATTTATATACATTTAATTTCATTAATTTAAAGACTAGTAGTCAATAAAAGCTCTATGGACCATTCAATAAGCTGTGGCTCATATATTAGCCTGGTGGGCCAGTAAAAATTATAAAATTTCTGTGGTCCACCTGAAATTTACCAGTATGTTTCTCTGCTCATAATGTCTTTTATACTAAAGCAACATTTCCTGGTGAGATTAAAACTCATATACCTTATCCTCAGAAACCAGCCTGTCCAGGATAGCAGATAATAATTTCTCTTCGAACACTAATCTTTAATTATTTGATTAAGGTAAGCTAATGATTTAGCTAAAATACCACTTTTCATTATAAATTATATGATCAATATGAGCAGGATACAATTTCCATGAATTACCATGCCACTTTTCATTGTAATTTTCCTATAGTTTCATCTTATAAAACATTTGAATATAACAAATAGTCTAAGTTGAAATTCTTGAAAAATACATGAATCCATAAAATCCTGTAAATAATTTATTTTATATATAGCTATTGTGCTCATTTTATTCTAGAAATACATATAAATAATATACAAGATATATGAAGATATTGAATATTCAAAAATTAAGAGTTAAGAATACTGTGGAAGGTTAAAGAGATGAAAATTTGGCCTTGTAAAAGTATTCAACTCATTTGCAAAGAAAAGAAAAAGAAAACAGATAAAGTGTAAATGCAAAATTTTTATAATCCAGAAATTGTTGAGGTCTTTTACAAATATAGTTTCTTTTTTTAATCCAGTTTCTTATAAAAAGAAATAGGCTAAACACAAGATTTCTTAATGACTCCTCTTACTACTTCAACTGGGACTATTACTATGACTAATACATGAACTGCTACTCCAACTGCTACTTGATATGTGGTCCTTTTATTTATACCTGGCACACAGCTGTAGAATTAAACACATGAATACACATGCATACTTAAAATAACTCAGCTGTATTTGAATATTTGTTAGTTGAAAGATATATAATTTCTAATAATTTAATAACTATACATGTTTAGAAGTTGAAACCTTGCAGATCAATAATTTGATATGTTTTAAATGCTATGTAATTTCTATCTTTCTCCATGAATTATAAGTTAATTAAATTTTAAGTTACTCTCCACTTAGATTGATTTGTATTTTACATCTTATCAATCTTTTACAGGTTATTTAAAACCAGAATTTATTTTTAGATTATAAGAATTTTTTTGGAGATAATGATGATTTACTGATACAAGTCATACTAATTAACCCAGGAAACTGAGGAGAAGAAGTAAATTCATACCTTTCCAAAGTTTATTTGCACATAAATTAATATAACGAACAAGACTGGAATTGGAACTCTACTCTCCAATTTCCAATTCTGAGCCATTATCCAATAAACCACCTGTTATGAAATGAACTCTTCCTTTGTGCTTTGTATGTAAATTTATTGTATGCAAACGAATATTCATTTTCTTTTATAAATTCTGCTGTATTTTGGGGAGGGAAATTATATGGAGAGACACAATTTCTATAGTGTTGTTCGGCTCAGTTTCTTTTGTTGAATAAATCCTTTCTTAAGGTTATCGCCATCTTGTCTTCCTGCTGTTTTTGAATTACTTTTAAATTCATAATACCATCTGCACATCCAAGCTTACAGCATCTGGTATTTCCAAGCAGTCACCCATCTAAGTACTGAACTGGTGTTTCAATATGATATGGCCATAAGCCTCCACTCAGTATTGTATCTTATGAAATGGACAAAGTCTGACAATTATTTTAAGACATTTTTATGTTTAACATTCTTTTTATAGATACAAATATTTAAGTAAATGCTCTGTTTATAATAAACAGTATTAAACAACATTTACCAGCCTGAATGTCTGTGGCAAAATTGGTAAAAGCACATCAGGCTATATGACGGTTCCTGTTGGACGACGAATATTTTCTACGAAAATTTCTCAGACATTCAGGCCAGTAAATGTTATTTAATACTGTTTATTATAAACAGAGCATTTACTTAAATATTTGTATCTATAAAAAGAATGTTAAACATAAAAATGACTTAAAATATTGTATCTTATTTATAATTTTTGATAAAGGCTTTCATTTTGTCTGAAATTGATTATCAGAATATATTTTAATATATGTCCCGTCTCTTCTACTCTAATAGCTTCATGTCTCGCACCTCTCGCCTGTGGAACTCCCTTCCCTTTTCCTGTTTCCCTGTGAGCTATAATCTCCAGCTATTCAAGTGTAATGTCAATCGACATCTCCAGTTACCTTGATCTATCCATTACCCTCATCCTTTCTTCTATCAATCCTATCTGATCTTGCTCTAAATTTTGTGTAACCCCTTGCATCCTAGTGGCTTCCCGCCTTTCTTGGGGTGAAATGCTTAAAAAAAAAAAAAATGTGCTGAATAATAATAATTTGAATGCATCTAATTTGTTTTACTGTTGTATGTCCTCATACTTTATCTATCAATATATAATGTATATCGACACTACAGTAAAATGATATACTAAAAAGACTGTTATTATTTATGGAATATATATATATTCAGCTGTGTGCATTTTACTGCTGTCTGTCCTTGTGCCTTATTTTTATTTATCAATATACAGGGTGCGATGAGTAAATTGTCACCATTTTATATTTTTAATTTCTCACATGCATGTTATTTGTTTTTGATTTTGTCAACTGTACAGTATAGTAGGATCAGTTGGGCACCATCTGTGAGAAAAAAGAGCACCATGACACAATTCACTCCACCAGAAATTTGAAAATGACATGCTGTACTGCTTAACATTCATACTGGAAGCTCCAAATGAATATTTCAGAGTGTTTGGGTGTTAATCTGAGGACAGTGCAGAGGATTCGGAAAGAGTTGAATGATATATCCAGTCAACATCGTGGTGTTTGGAGTGATCACTAGTGATGGTGACATTATGCCTTCATTCATCTTCCTACGGGGCCTCAGACTCAACATAGAGGCCTACATCAAGTGCCTTGAAGGGGTAGTGCTGCCTTGGGTCTAGAGGGTGGCTACTAGAAGACCCTATGTCTGGCAACAGGACTCTGTACCATACCACATAAGCAGGAGAAGCCAGTCATGGCTGTCAGACAATTTCTGTAACCACATCAACCCTTACATCTGGCCACATAACTCCCCAGACTGCAACCCCTTTGATTATCATCTGTCGGGCGCAGTTGAGCGAGAGACCAACAAAACTCTTTGTAACACCAAAGATGAACTGAAAGTAAGGATTATGGTAGCATTCACCAACTTAAACAGGGAGACTGTCAAGAAGAGTTGCAGGAGATTCTGAAGTCATCTGGAGGCCATGGTTGAAGCCAATGATGTTTTTATTGAATAAATTTACTCTTTAGTATTTAAAGATATTTTGGGGATAATTTTGGTAAATATATCCTTTTAAAAGGAGTTGTCAGTGTTATTTTCATTTTTGCATAATTTAGACGACAATTTATCCACCGCACCCTGTATATGCCCAAAACACATATTTAAAAAAAAATTAAAATTTAAAAGTTTAAAATTTCAGTATCTATCTCCATTCACATGTGTCAATGTGAACATCATTTTTAGTCCAATGGAGTCCTAAGTCCAAAGTCGTCTGGAGGCTGTGGTTGAAGCCAATTGCGATTTTATTGAATAAATTTATTCCTTAGAATTTCAAGATATTTTTGTGTAATTTTCATAAATATATCTGTCAAAATGAGATGTCAGTGTTATTATCATTTTGGTGTAATTTAAAGGACAATTTATCCATCGCACCCTGTATGGTGCATATGGACATTACAATAAAATGATATGCTGAAAATACTTTTATTCTTTAGAGAGTAAGTACATTCAGCTGTGCACATTTTACTACTGCCTGTCCTTGTTCTTTTTTTTTATCTATCAATATATCCCTCAATTAATGTGCATTCATTTAATACATTTTTGATTCGTGTGCTAAAATTTTTATATACCAAAATTTGACTAGTACATACATAATACTCAATTAGTGTGGCAAAACATTCATCAGTTTAACCATAGTAACTGAAAATTTTTTTTTTTAT